TTTGCGTATGACATTTTGTTGGGTCGAATGTGCTGCAACCTATCTAACATGCAAAGCAGACACCGGTATGGAATGGGTTCCACAAATTTGACGAGGCCGAACGCATTTTGATCCTCAACGACTTTATGGACTGAACCGTATGGGAATGTGATGGCAGACATTCCTACCTGCCATATCCTGCCATGTCAAATCACATATTTGTTCGCTTTCACGGAACTCGATAACAGGGGGGTGTATTCTCCAAAATATCCAAATGTCTGGTATCTCAGAATGCTCTTCGACTCACAAATACGGAGATCCAAGTTGAGGAAGGGGTCGAAGAATCAACACATATCAACACCTGACATCAGATTTGGATCATGGATCAAGAGATCAAATCTCTACCTCTACCCTGGTCAACCAGATCTACGGGAATTTGATCTTCATGGATCTCCATGTAAAAAGATCAGCCCTCCCAATGGTTTCTTCAGGAGATGCTTTACAAGAACATTTGTCGCTCTCCTTTTTGTTCACCATGTGCAGATCACCACTGGCAAGGCTTGGAGCTGGAATCCGTGGAATTGGAATGGTTCTGCGTTCCACGCTGTTTTGAAAGTTGGTTTTGAAAGTTCGCTATTGATTGAAAATTGCCAAAGTTGGTTGATTTACGGTAAATGGTGATGAATCCCAGTTCGCAAACTCTTAGTTCACCAGAGGTATATCAGCCTAAGAACAAAAGAACGCGTTTTGCTTTGATACTTTTATCTGTAGTTTCCGTGCTTCCATAGACGTCTTTGATTTTTGAAAGTACTTTGACATATATATTATAAGTATCACTAAATTTTCTATGTGCATAGATCGCAACATTTCCTATTTTGGCGTTGCTTCGACTTTTTCTCTTTTTGGAGCAAACCTATACCGGACCTGCTGCGCATCACACGCATAACATCCCAGGAGCCTCCAGCCAAGCCAGCAGACTGGGTTCCTGACAGGTTGGACCCAGTGAAATTCTCCCTAATGGACTGGCAGGGATTGGCAGAAAGATTGAGATTGGAAGATTCATGTCATGGAAAGCATCTCAAAGTCCTAGAGATTCATCGTTGTTGTTTTTTGGTTTTGAGATGTTTCCACGATGCACCGGGTGTGTTAAACAATAACCATATCCACTCCATGACGGATTTACTGGTATTACTTGTATATGGAGGGGCTGGTCACATGGCAGTGAGGTGTTGGAGATCTTCAAACTGAGCAAATTGGAAGAGATCTACCAAGCCATTCCGGACCGAGAAGCGAAGCGGTAAGAGATGACAAATCCGATGGTGTACAAAGTTAAAAGAGGTATCTCATGTTATCTCTAATTTTCAGGGGGGTAATCATTTTGTTGTACTAAGTGTTTGGATGTATTTGGATGTATTTGGTGCATCTCTAGGGATTTGTCTCAAAATGCTCATTGGCACCCAATATTTCAAACAGGTCTGGTAGATTCTAAATGATTCTAATCACAAAACATGTGGAGAGAACATGTTAAAATATGATAGCGCCAAGCATTTTGGATAAAAATCTAATACAACCCAACTTCAACCCGTTTTCCAAGTGAAAGCCATATATCGGAGATAGCCAGAGCGGTTGAATTCGCAGGAGAGCTTCACCAGTGAAACCCCTGAAGTGGATGCCTATGATTCCGGCGATCCCATGAGGCGTGATTTATCCGTGAAACAAAGGCATCATGGGGATTGATATATGCGATTTATGATAGCTAAGTTGACTAAAAAATCACTTGCTAAACTAGGGTTCATGGAGGATATAGGGCTTATAACGTCGACAGGAAGAATGTCTACAGTAGTAGGGTTAAAGGAAGAGAATGTCAGTAGACATTCCTTTAACCCTAGGGTTAAATTCCACGTAGATACTAAAATTTCACCAGTGACATGTGTCAGGACATTGTCGTAGGACATAAATTCACAGTGACATCTGTCAGGACATTGACATGTGACATGTGTCAGGACATTGTCGTTTAACCCTATCGTTTAACCCTATGTCGTTTAACCCTATCGACATGTGTCAGGACATCGTCGTCGTAGATGTTCAAATTTCACAGTGACATGTGAGAATGTCAAAAAAAATTAAAATGAGAGAAGTCGACCTTCTCGTAGACATTCTCTTCCTTTAACCCTGTTCTCGTAGACATTCTCTTCCTTTAACCCTAATTCTCTTCCTTTAACCCGAAATTTCACATGTCGACCTTCTCGTAGACATTCTCTTCCTTTAACCCTGTTCTCGTAGACATTCTCTTCCTTTAACCCCAATTCTCTTCCTTTAAACCGAAATTTCACATGTCGACGTTCTCGTAGACATTCTCTTCGTTTAATCCTGTTCTCGTAGATTTTATCTTCCTTTAATCGTTCTCTTTCTTTAACAATTGAAATTTAGGAAGAGAGCGTCAGCTAGGGTTAGAGGAAGAGAACGTCGACATGTGACATTTCACTGTCAGAGTAGGGTTAAAGGAAGAGAATGTCACTGTCAGAGTAGGGTTAAAGGAAGAGAATGTCAGACGAGAGCGGAAGAGTCTCAAGGAAGAGAGCCTCAGGGTCTCAGAGAGAAAGAGAATGTCAGTGGAAGAATCAGCGGAAGAGCCTCAGCAGCCTCAGCGTCAGAGAAATCTCTCGGCCGCTGAAATTTCTCGGCCGCTGATTCCTTTCTCTCTTTCTCACTGTAGGCTTTCCGCTGACATTCTCTTCCTTTAACCCTAGAGAAATTTCTACGTAGACTTTTCGCTGACATTGTCTTCCTTTAACCCTAGGGTTAAAGGAAAAGAATGTGAGAATGTTATAAACGACAATGTCCTGACAAGGGTTAAAGGAAGAGAATGTCTACGTAAAAAGTTAAAGGAAGCGAATGTCTACGTAGAAAGCTAAAGGAAGAGAATCCCTACATAGAAAGTTAAAGGAAGAGAATGTCTACGTAGAAAGTGACATTCTCTTCCCTCTCCTCCTTTACATTCTCTTCCTTTAACCCTACTCTGAAAGTGAAATGTCAACGGAAGAGAATGTCAGCGTAGAAAGTTAAAGGAAGAGAATGTCCACGTAGAAAGTTCAAGGAAGACAATGTCTACGTAGAAAGCTAAAAGAAGAGAATGTCTACGTAGAAAGTGACATTCTCTTCCCTCTCTTCCTTTACATTCTCTTCCTGGAACCCTAGGAAGCTGAACAAATTTAGGGTTAAAGGAAGAGAACGTCCGTGAGAAATTTAAATTTCTCTCACGCTGGCTCTCTTCCATTCTCTTCCTTTAAAGGAATATATTTTCTCTGATGCTACTCCTTTCCCTTCCTTTAACCCTACTCCGACAGTGAAATGTCAAATGTCGACGTTCTCTTCCTCTAACCCCACTCTGACAGTGATATTCTCTTCCTTTAATGTTACAGGTGTCAGGTGTCAGGACATCGTTTAACCCTAAATGCTACAGCATCAATCAGAAAGCAAAATTGATCTGACCACAGACGGCTTGTGAGGAACGGCATGGGTCGGCATCCAGCTCAATCTCCAGCCATGGTCTTGGTCATCAAAAAAGTTCAGGCGGAAATTGGGTTTAATCCTGCTAGTCAGTGCAACGCTGACAGCTGAGCTGAGTTATACGGCTGAATAATGTTGAATACATTGCTGACAATGCTGGTTGTTCTTGTCAGGCCCCATCCATGCCAATGATGCCCATCCTTTCCGTGGCACTCAATTTCTTCATGATCGTTTGAAGTTGCTAGAGTAAGAAAGTTCATGTCAATTTGGTGCCGCATTGAAGAAATTGCCAATGGGGCATCGGTGCCGGAAGGGGAGCGTTCAAAATTTGAAGCCAAATTATCATTGTTCCGATGGCGAGGAGTTGCCGTGGTTTCTGCAACCATTCTTTTGTTCCTGGCTCTATGCGGAGCCTGCGTGACCTTGATTGGCATGGGGAGGTGCCCAGGTGGAATCCACACCTGCCATGGTTGCCTTCACATTTAAGTCAACGTACCCCCCAATAGCAGTTGAAAGTATGGCTCAGCAGTCGCCAAAGAGTGTCATCTCTGCAAAGCCAGAGGGACACGCGGTTGCTCGAGGAGAAAATCCTGCAAATGCGGGTTTTCCTTTACGTGGCCGCGCGCTGCTCCCACAATGCTCTTCAAGGTATGTCAATTGTACTTTGTTCTAGGCCATTGAAATTGAAATCGACATGCTCAAGCTTCAGGTGCCAGCTGAACTATATGTTAAATATGTCCTTTTGCATCACGGTTTTTAACAGATGCACACCGACCCTGACTGGAGAAAATTGTGAACCGTTTTGCCTTTCTGCAAGCTGTGCAGAACCCTGCATTTTGATTGCTTGTGTTCTGTATTTGTCTTGTTCATACTAACTTGCTTTTTGCTCTTACTTTGTGGCATCAGGTTGCAGTTCGAACATTATGTGGATTGTTGACCACGAGGGGTTTTCTGTTTTTGAACACAATTGAACTGTGCCCCTGTGTTTTCAACGTTTTAGTTGTCTATTGGGCAGGACAGCGGAATTGTTTTGAGGGAACAAAATTATATGCGCAGCAGAGCTGTTTGCTCTCAGAGAAGCAAACTGCGCCGCAACTACTGGATCTGCGCAGGCTGGGTCTGTAAGAGGTTTTCAGGCCAGGTCAGAGCCGAGTGATTGTTCTATTCAAAACAGACTGCACCGCCCTCCGCAAGGGATCCCATCCGGGTGGACTCGCAGATGCCGCAGGTCAGGGTTTTGGTTTTTGATGTCCGTTTTTTTTAAGCTTATATCTATACGCATGGATACATGTTGGGTGTGGCCCAGATTTAATGTCTCACACATGTTGCACATACTCATGCACACACATGTCCGTCACACATCAAACATACAAACTATGATGTTATACAGCATACGAACACACTATTGTAAGCTTTGTCTTCAGGGTCATGGCGTCGGTTGTCCGGCTTCCCGACATGAGGCCGAAGTGCGAGTTGTAGCCTCCTGCCCCGAAGATCACCACGACCGAGTAATGGCCATTTGCAAGGGGTCCGGATTGTACAAGGCTTTTGGCAAGAAGGGCGATTTCATTGATGCGCTCAAGAGCGGAGCTCGCTGGTTCGACCTCTGGAAAACGAAGGTTTGCCAGACCGTCCTGGTTGCCACTATGCACGCAGAGTGCTCTGTGGTTCGAATTTTGTGCATTGAGGGCGGCCCCAATTGCGATGAAGAGTACAAGAGTATTCCAGATCTGAAAAAGGCCGTGAAAGATGACATGAAGAAACAGAATGGCCGAGAGGTGGAGGTGGTATGCGAGTGGATGACAATGGAGCTCTTTGAAAGAAACTTCGGCACTTTGGCCAGTCAGTTTGTGATTACATTCGGGTTTAGTTTGATGTAGTGCTCTACTTGCGGGTGTCAGTTGTATGTTCCAAGGTTTTATATGGTTTTATGCCATTAAATTTGCTCAGGTAGCCAAGCGAAGGACAGAAAGGGCCGACGGTGTCGGGTGTTGCCCAAGATGTGTAATTAGTGACCAGAATGTTTCCAGCTGCTGGTGGTGCGGGTAATGGTGGTGATTCCAGGTGTGCGATCCGTTTGTGTTAAACAGGTTTGAGCCTGTTTGAGTAGCATGACCCCATGCGAGGATGACATTCCAGCGCAAGTGGCAGCCGACGCGCAAGTCGAAGCCGATGAAGCCGCGGCTGCGAAATGTCTGGGCGTCAGTCCTTACTGACTAAAGATAGAACTTAATGCTACCTCAGGCAAAAGATCTATAGAAGTAAACTTGAAGTTGTACTTCAAGTTCCATAACATGAACATCAGGAACTTCAAAGTTCAATAAGTTCAGGTCTCTAACTGATTCAATCGAATTTCAATAGTAGCAGACATAGCAGACTTGTAGATAAGAGAAATGAGACAGATCAAAGAGAAAAAAAAGGAAAAAAAACATCGTCATTTCGGTTTCATTCCTCCGCGCGCCGAGACACCGACATCGCCGGCGCGGCGCTCAACGGCGACCTCCCGGCCGTCCGGGGCCACCTGCGCCGCGACCGCGGCAGCCTCGACCGACTGGATTCGTCGGACCGGTCAGCGCTGCACTGGGCAGCAGTCAACGACCACCCGGCGGTCGTGGCGTTCCTCGTGGCGAAGGGCGCCGCCGTGGACGTCCTCGGCGGCCTCGGCCCGGGAGCTCAGCGATCGCCGCCGGTCACAGCGCGCCGCGAGCCGCGAGTGCCACTCCGCCGGTGCTGAGGTCGGACTCCGCTGCATCTTGCAGCATGGAGCGGCCACGTGGCGTGCGCCCAGCTGCTGCTGGCAGCGAAGGCCTCAGTGGACAGCAAGAACAACTTAGGCTGGGGGCCTCAGCCGATGTCCCGTTTTTGAAGACCGATTTTTTCACCCGCAATCACAATAACAATCAATAACAGATATAACATATATAACAGGTGCAGTTCAACGAATGTGGCATTTATCAATGACTTTATATCTTTTAAGTATTTATTTTTTCAACTTCAGCATGAGATTTCACTGGATTTATCATCTCAGGTTCCCGTCTTCAAAGTTCCCTTGAAATTCAAGAGCTGTAATTTTAATTTTGGGGCGTGTGTCTATTGAAAAAAAAGGGTTTAGAGATGTTTAGAGTTCATCCATGTCTTTGACATCCGTGTGAGCCAAATGAGAAAACTGAAGCAGCGCTTTCCGCACATGGTTTCCACACGTCAAATCCGGCAGTCCACACGGCGATCAAGTGAAGTGATATTGGAAAGGGTCACTTCGAATGTCAGTTGTGGTTCCCAGGCCAAACGCCTTTGGATCTCGCAAGAGAGGAGGATGAAACAGAAATGGTGAGCTTGCTGATGGGCAAGGCCTCTTGGCTGCACGGGCGAGGCTCAATGCAGTGGCCCAATGGCATAGGAGGTGGGAATATCCATGGGTGAAACATGGTGAAACTGCTGGCACTGCTGGGAATGAAAACATGAAAGGCATAGGGATAGTGTGAGTCGGTACCAGGGATGTTTCCGCATCCGATGTTGGACACATGACTCATGAAGCCTAAACCCATTGCCAAATCATCACAAGCCACCGGCCAAAAATTGAGCACAGGTGAACCACGAATTTGATTGAATCTGCAGAATTCATTGGGCGAGAACAAATCAGATTGTCAGAGTATGCGTGGACAGAACAGGTATGGGTTTTTGCCGCTTGACTATCTTCAGCACTACATGGCCTAAAGGTCACCGATGGTCACAAAGTAGGAATTTGTTTGATGTCTCTTCTGTCCATATCTTTTTTTGGGGGTTGAATCATTTTGAGCCCCAGATGTTGTTTGCACATGTGCTCCGCCCAAGGCATGAAATATAAGGCCTGGCACCGGGAATAGCTCTTTTGATGTCTCATGTGCCAGTCAGTTTTTGCTGGTAATGACAGTTAATAAAGAACTGGAGCGATCATCAAAACATTCACGGGAATGATAAACATGGCTAGAGCTAGCAAGCAGCTCCTACTTGCCTGTGACATGCGAAACTTGATGAACATTGCACATTGCACGCACCAAAACTTTGACTGCTGGGCTTATGACAACATGCTGGGTATCTTTAAACATTAATCAGTTGTCCTTGGCAGCAAGATCTCTCCAATGCAGAACCCTATCCATATACAGTTTTACACCTTTGTATATAATTGTTTTGGTGCAAGAAATGTTAGACATGTCGGCGAGTGTCTGACAACATGAAGTTTGTGGGAAAACATCTCCAGTCACCTGCTTCGCCTCCCGTTTTCGCAGGTTTGGTATAGTGATTCCGGCATGCTTCAATTTCGGGCCAAAGGTGCCCTTTGAGCGCATCTTGTGAAACGATCAAAGATATGCCGTTTAACGCCGTTGGGTTTACAGGGTGTGGATTAAAATTTTGTCCCCGCAAAGTTGGGGCTTTCGATGGTTTAATTATTTTTTATGAATTCAATGCTGAAACCAGAACCTGAAATGATGAACATGTGTGATTGCATGGGGTTTCTCTCTATCTCAGTTTGGGATCAGGATTGAGCTTAGCAAGTGGCTGGAATCTCTGCTGTGCAGCCATTAGTTGTATGACATCACACCGCTCCTTCCTGTTTGTGGTGGATTGCTATGTTCAATTCACTTGTCTTTCAATGTGATGACATGGTGAGCAAATGTTGTGAAATGACTTCTAGGTCCAAACCATGATTTGAGGTGGCAACTCAAGTAGTTTTCTTTCCAACGGAAGAACAATCCACTACCCCCAAAGGTGGTAGATATTTTTCGGGTAGTCTTGGAATACAGCTTCCACGACTGTTCGGCGATGGCCCCATGATCGCAGGCAAGACGTATCGGGTCTTGTATCGGTTCCTTTGCGTTGACTGTATTATGCTGCAGTCAAGTTTCACCTGGGATGAAACTGCCTTTGAACATGTGCAATGCATAATCGATGTCACTGGTTTCAGGTTCAAAGCAACATCAGGGAGCGAAACGCACATCAATGTTGCACCATGTTAAAGATGAACACTCGTGCCACCCATCAACGTTTCTTGATTGGGAAGCTACAGATATTCCTCAGCGCGTCGGGAGTTCATTTTAGTTGCTTACTACTTTCAACTGTCAAGCAGCAATTTCAAGAGCACAGGGTTTGATTGGGTCGTTGGAAGAAGGGACCTCCAAGGCTTCAACATAGCATCCACCTCAAGCTTTTGTGGATTGGACATTTTACAGCTACAGTTTCACCATTCTGTGTGGATTCCCGTTGCTCAATGCGTGCATACAATGGCCTTTGATACCATCGCAGGGTGTCACAGGTGTGAAAGGCCATCGTGAAGTAATCTATCAATCTGGCAGAAACATGTCAACCTGCATGGGTCCTGTGAAACATTACTTACAAGAATACCATTTTATTTCACGAAGAAGGGCCGCTTCTGCCCTGGCGCTCCAAATTTACTCTCGGAAGATGCTTGGGACCCAAAAACCAACTACTAGCGTCTCAGACGGTGTTTGGAACTGCAGGGTCGGGTGAAACAAATTGATCTACAACTAGTTGTACTAGTACTACTCTCTTTGGCAGATTTTTTTTCATTTCACACCATTTGCAAGTCAAGACAGTTTTCCAGATAGCTACCCATGAACACCTAGGCACCTAGGCTTCACACATTGAGATACCTCCATTGCCGAGGTTTGAGCAAGCTGCAAGCCTTCAAAAGGGTGCCAAGATGCTGCTTGGTGGTTCACACCACCCCAACTGGTCAGTAATGGAAGTAGGAATGCCGATTATCAAACAATAGGGGTCTAAACACCTGATATCACCTGGCTATAGTTATCAGATATACACCTATTGTTTTAGGCATCACTTAACTTATCATTGTGTATCTACATATCAGTTTTAACCGCTATTACAAATATATCACTTGATTTCATCAGATGAATGACGGTTTATTAACATGATAATGATTGGAATGTGCTTCGTATTTGCGGGGTCAATTCTCCCAGTTGTAAAGATGTATGAATCGGGGACTTCTTCAGCAGGGCTACTAATAAATTAGATCCGCATGATGATTTGTAAGGGATTGTCTCAATGATCTGGGGAGTGCTCCTGCCACTTCCCCCTCAATTGTATGTTTGAAAAGCAACTTCATGTGTAGCCTCTGGTGGCATAGACTGCTATGGACAATCACCGTTTATAGTAGGTAAATCGACAAACTAAATGGACCCTTTTCAATAGCCAGGTTACATTACCAGAGGGTAAATGACAGGGTGTTTTCAACTTTTATCAACAATCGTTATATCTGCCAGAACCTTCGAAGGATTGAGTTCAAAGAAGAAGACAAATGGGTTCAAAGGGACACTGTGAAATCCGTTTTTAATGTCCTGAAAACGCACATATAATATGCATTGATACACCATTTTGTATAGTGTTGAAACTGCATGCCATATGATTGTGGATGATCTTGCTTCAGGATTTGCGGTTTAGATTTCAGGTTCCCTGACAGCTTTCCCCCATTCGATCCAGTTTCCAGATCTCTTGGGGCTTGCTGACGACTTTCAGATTCTTTCATTGCCCCGGCTGGATGATATCTTGGCCCTTGTTTTCATAATAAACCATAGTTTTTTAACTAGGTTGGTACTTCCCCAATAGTCATAATCTGATACTTAACTGGTACTCCCTCCAATTAAACAGCCTAAGGGTTTACAAATCCAGGGTTGACATTAATCCTGAACTGATATCTAAATGATTTAGTTCAAGACGGCATATTTTTCATATGCTACGTTGTCAAATTTTCCATTGAAAATAAGGCGCATTCTCTGAATGGACGGATCCTGACGAAAGAGGCATCCTTCGTGGCACAAAATCAAACGCACCGAGGAAATCCGCGTGGAGGATTTCTCGAGGTCCTGAGGCGAAAATTGATTGGAAACTCTGAATCCTGGATAAAGTTTGAAGCCTGGAGCACACCCGGGTCTGAAAATGCCAGCAAATTGCCAACGGAGAATAGATTTGGGATATTCATGGATAATCCATTTTCAGATAAACCCATCTCTTTTCAAACTTCGCCAAAGCTCGTCGAATATGATCATTTGCCGCAGTAGCTTTCGAAGCTCCTTTGGAGAGGACCGGGTCGGGTCGGGCCTTCATCTGAGCATCCAAAGATTGTGGAGATTTCATCAGTTTGGGATTGCCAAGTTCAGATTTTCTTGATGTTTCTTGGGGCGCAGTTGGGATTATATTTTGTGGCTAAAACTATGACAATAATTCCTATACGTTGGAAAATATGCAGGATGTTAGTTCGACGATGTTTCCCCGATAATTTCCTGGTCTCCATCTTTTCTATCTATTTGGTGTTTGCCGTACCACATGGTGGACAAAGCCACATATCATGCCATATCCTTTTCCGATCATTGATCGTGGTTAAAGTTACAATGGCCTCACCATGACGTCATGACGTTGGTTGCGAAGGGGAATCATCCGAACATGTCCTTTATTTCAGGTTGGTGAATTACAATATACCAGCCAAATGGAGATGATTCTTCTCATTGTTCATCAATAGGACTACAGATTTTTTAGAAATAACCACGTTTTTGGTGTGAATGACCATATTTGGTTGATGCTTCACACTCCATGAGTCATTTGAGAATGGCTCAAAATGAACAATTGCACCAAAAAGTGGACATTTTCAGATCCAAAAGAGACCAGTGGTGTCCAAAACAGTGCCCGAAATCAAAGGTTGCCAAAACCATATGTGCCATGCTTGAAATTTGAGTGATCCCATGTCGGGCGTAACTCGACCTGGTAAATCCCAGGCATTCGAAGTGGTTTCTTGTAGAGCGTATGCTGGGTTAAATTTCCTGGCTTGACGGGTTTCTGCATACATATTCAATACATACATGAGAATATATATATATATAAAGGCATGTCCCCAGCATTTCGAGCCATGGCTTGACCACATGGTGTTTCGACAGGAGTGAGACCAGGCCTTGGATCATTGGCCATCGATTAGCAGCCCTGGCGTTGTTGGTTTTTTTAGGGACATGTGGCTGCCGGGATTGATAGATGTTACGACGTTTCTTCATGTTTCATGTTAACTAGTTGGGTGATGTCAATTCTGAAAAAAAAAATATTAGACATATTTAGACATGATATCACCCAACTCTCCAACTATCCCAGGTGTCTGGGCATTACGGGTCAGATCATGAGTCGCCAGGATCGCCAGTTGGCGTCAGTGGATCATGGCTCGGGTTTGGCGTCAGAGGCGCACGGCACTCGTCGTTCGGGACTGAGGACTGGAAGTTTAAGCAAAAATTCTCATCTATCAAATCATCCCAAATCATCTATCAAATTGCTCAAAAGTAATTGTCATAGTTAAACATAGTTCCTGATCCTTATTGGTTTTGGAAGTTTATTTGTGCCACTGACTTTGGAGAGTGATGGTCAAAGCACTTTTGATTCCACGCGGGCATTGCAAAAAGCAAAGGAAAAGGGCTTGAGCACTCAGTTGATGGACAGCTTTGATGAAGAATGGCAGATGGCAGATGCAACCCGAAAAGGGTCCGTTTGTGATACGGCGATAATCTCCCAATCTGTTTTAGATGGTACCAATCCATGTATCAAAAACCACTAGGCATATCTAGGCATCCTTAAATTCTTGGTACCCCTGCCATCGAGAGCCCAGGCGTGAGAAGGACTTGGGCTTGGAGCCTGGGCAGGTGGCTCAGTTTGGAAAGAGTCCAGAGATGGCTGGAGGCATTTCATGGCGTGCCATTTGGAGCCATACCGATACCTGAAGATTCTGGTGCATGCAAGATGTCATTGATGATGATTGGTAGCTGCATCATTCTGAATTGTTGCAACTCCAAATTTGCCAAGTGCTTTACAACATGAATGCGTGTTGCTTTTTTCTGCACTCGCAGATTGTCCGCTCAACCGTTCAGCAATTACATTTTTCCAGATTTTCTGCACTCGCATGACCATCAGCACCCTGCAGGTCTTCCAAGAAGAAGTTCCACGAGCGAAGGCGCGTCAGCAGTTGCGAGAAGCCCAAAATAACGATGCCAGTCGGGGCCTTAGTGAGGAGACAGGGTGGCTATGGGGGGGGCAAGGTTCAAAATCCACCGAAGCCACTAATTCAAGTACTTCATCCATCCGTGGCGAAATAATCCCAATGCACTGAAATAATTTATTCAGCTTGAACCCCCAAAAAACATAAAAAACCAATCCAACAATGGGGATTCAATAGGATTGCCCCCTTAGAAATGAGTAAATCATCCCATCTCCTACAACTAACCACCCAATTCTGATTTCCCACGGCTCTTGTGTTGGAACCTCCCAACAATCCTGTTGAATCAGGTGCCCTGCGTGACGCCGTGACGCCGCGGCCAAGAGCCAGCTCCCCGAGGAGATGCAGCCCGACAGCGATGCGGTGGATTTTGACCCAGCCTAGCATGGCCAGCTGATGGAAGATCTTCATTGACCACAGAGATATACATTTTTTTCCAAACCATAGGTGTGGGTGAGACCCGTTGGCACCACTATATACATTATAATTAATCATCTATACACTAGTATCATCTAGTACCTAATTTACTGGGGATTATGAGAAGCCTAGGGAAACTGCTTTCAAGCAGAAAAGGAGATGGCGAACAGGGGTAATTTGGTTGAAGTGGATCCATTCAAATGGCCATCACATAGGGAACATGAACAAATAAGCCATTGGAATTGTTTTTTCCCGGATTGTTTCAGACTTTCCAAAGTCTTTAACCCTGGTTGAAGCAAGAACAATGGGGATGTAAACCTTCAAACTTGGGGTTTTGCCGCCAAACTTAGGAGGATTTCACATGATTTCGGCGTGGGAAAATGGTGATTTAACATGATTGAAGCAAGAAGCATGAGGATTGAGCCATGAAAATCGGAGGTTGTGCATGATTTAAGGATCAAATATCACGATTGAACCCACGATCGAACCATAATATAAAGATGGTTTCAGAATGACACATTGAGATATTCTATGGACATAATTATACATGGAAAATTGAGTGGCCAAAAAATATAATTCAATGTATGGTCATGTATGGTCATTTTCGTCGCGACAATGATCATGAACCAGTGGATGGAATGGATATCTGGTTTTTGGAAAAGCGCGATGTTCGACAAAAAAACTCAGGGGTGAGGATGCGCTATGATGTAGCTCCGAAATCCTGACTTGCGAATGGAGCATACCAGGCTACTTGATACCTGCAGTATTAAATAGTTGTTGATAATCATCTGGCCATCCATTGAATGGCGATGCCATCGGTCCAGATTTACTGAAGGTGATATTGTGATATTGCTATTATATGTTAGTATGTTTAATGTGTGTTCCATGTGGTAATTCTCTGAAGATTCTCGGAAAAGTCTATGCGCGTGGCAGCGCCAGTTGAGGAGTCATTGAAGAAGACCTATCTGGTGCAAGTTCCGCCCGTGTGCGTTTTTCGGTGGGGATCGCTGCTGCTCACGTTCGTTTTTTCGAGGCATCGTATGTCAGACGATCAAACGTTTTTTCCTGCAAAAGGTTGAGCCTTGGAAAACCATCTGGCCAGGTTCATTGGTATCATTGGTGACCGTTCGCAATGCCGTGGCCAGGTCATTGTTGCCAGTGGTTTGATCGCACTGGGTGCCTTCACTCCAGACTTCCGCGAGAGTGCTGTGAAGCCTGCCTCTCAGCCTCTCAGACCATGACAAACTTATGGCATCGCCATAGAATCCCAAAAGGAAGGAAAAGACATGAAAAAATCATTTGGACTTGGTGTTCTTTGCCATTTCCAGCGACATCAGTGTTGTTTTTAGTAAGATTTACTGTATCATTGAATTTTTGAGAGAACAGCACCACCACCATCACCACCACCACCATCACCATCACCATCACCATCATCATCATCATCATCACCATCATCATCATCATCATCGTCATCACCGTCATCATCATCATCATCATCACCATCATTATCATCATCATCATCATCATCACATTGTTTGAATCACCACCATTTGTTTTATCACCTCCTCGAGGATCATCCCACTAGTATAACTGGCAAGCAAAGCATATTCATATCTGAACTTCACAAAACAGTTATTTCTATGGAGGTTTCCCAAAATGGGGATTCCCAAGTCACCATAGGTCCCTCGACAAAGCGGAAACTTCGAGTTTGAACATGTAAAGATCATCCCACTTAGTATCACTGCTTAACAAGTATATTCAATGCATGACCATATATAACTTAACTTTATAACACAGTTATATATGGAAGTTTCCTAAAATTGGGGAGAGGTACCCCCAGTCATCATCCATTTGATTTTCGGATTTTCCATGAAATCAACCATCCATCCAGCTGGTTACCTCCATGACTTAGGACCCCCCAAATCATCCATGTTGGTCCTGTTTAACCCAGGGTTCCCCCAGTCATCATCCATTTTATGTTCGGATTTTCCATTGTAAACCATCCAGCTATTGGAATTACCCCCATAGAAAAATAAGTTCGGATTAGTCCCACCTTTCTCGGCCTCGGCCTGGCGCCTGGGCGGAGCAGCGTCAGATCCGCTCCGAGAAGTTCTCGTTGGAGTGCCTGGAACCCGTGAAGGCGCCAGTGCTGGTTCTGGGAGGATCCGTGGTCTCCCAAAATGGAGGATTAATATAATGCTTAATCATGGGTTAACAATGGTTGATATATGGTTGATATACAGTGGTGAATATATGGTTAATAGAATTGTGAATCATGGGTTAATCATGGGTGAATACTCCATTCCATGTCCATATCATAAATAGGTGGGTACCCCAATAGCTGGCAATAACTGGATGATTTCATGGAGGAACCCATCAATGGATGATGACTCGGGGTACTGACTTGGGAAACCACCATATGGGGGCCAGAAAGGTGCTAGATCGACTGGATAGATGACTTTAGGAGCAGTGGAGATGAACGGGAAGAAATGGGATGTATTTATGATGTGCTGTGAGAAATATTGATAAACCATATAAAACCTACACCCCAAATAGGCCACTTAATGTGAACATCATTTTTTGACGGCTTCTGTGGTTGGTTTGGAGTGCTGGCTCCATCGCAGCAGTTATGGCTCCATCGCAACCCCCAAAAAGAGTCCAACAAATGGAGTTCTGGTAGAAACCTCAAGAAAAAGGCAAAATTACATGAAATTACGTTGATTAATTATACATTTACATCTTTTTGGTGGTTAGAAAATACTGTAATTTCATTAAAATTCAGATATGGCAGGTGAGGGCTTGGGACTGCCGAACGACTCCTTCAGCATTGAGAATGGCATCATCATGGACAAGGCGGTTGTCCCGGCACTGAAAATGCTGGATTTATCCTCTGGTAAACTAACACTTTGCTATGGAAAATTGCCATTTAGTTCGTTGATTTACCAATTAAAAATTGTGATTTTCCATAGTTATGTTAGTTTACCAGAGGGTAATCTCAATTTATGGATATTTATGGTCATGTCAGTAGAGAAAATGATTAACCAGCAATTTTTGGGGTATCACATGTTTGGAGATGGCTTCATCTACGTCTTTTTTCCCGTGAACAGTGCTGGTATGTGCCGGTTCTTGGATTGTTATGGATTGTTGCGATTTGCAATTGACATCTGGGCAATTAGCAAGACGTATTCAGACTTGTCCATTCAATGTCGGATGTGACAAAAGCGCACCCTGTTCTGTGGGGATACGGCAGGCACGACGGTTCCTTGCTCAGTATGGCTCAGTGATGAACGTCTGGATTGAGGATTCTGACCACATTTTTGGACGGATGATGGGCACCTGGTTTTGGACCTAATTGAATACATACTCTGTACTCATTTCACCTTTTATATCGTTTATATAATAAGACGTGTTTCACAAAAAATACGCTCTTATCAACATTACAACATTATTTAACATCATTTTCCACAAGTTCCATCAATTTCCCAATATTTTCCAACCTTTTCCAGATACCATGGTTTTTTCTATCCCGTTTCAGCGTTTCCCCACCTCCAAGGTGGCCCTCACGCACCCACAAGGGCAATCGGTGGATCAAAAAGCACGCCATGTCTTGGGGCCCGGGGCATGGGACTGATTTTTTGTTGCTCAGAATGAGATTTCATTCATCATTTAGTTTATTACATATTCCCAAAAAGGTTCTAAAATAGATCCAACCTTCAAGTCACGAATGTACAGGATGTTTCCAAGCTTCCAGAATTTGGATGGGAACATGTACAGTTGAAACCTCTATGTGTGGAGGTTTCTTAACATGTGGAGTCCCCAAGCCGCGCATGGTGCCAGGATGGCGCAACTGCTGCTGGTTGTGGCGAAGTTTACGGATAGCGACTATCTGAAGCGCTTGGAAGGTGAAGGGCGCGGGTTTTCGTTGAGAGATGACTCAATGGATTCATCGAAAAATGGTGGATTAAGTATGAAGAGTTGTGGTTTAATGGGTTTGATCATCACAAATGGTGGTTTCAGTAATTTTAAGTAGTAAAAATTGGGAATCTTGGGGATTCAGGTAATGATTATGGATTTAATGGATTTCATATTTGATCAATTGGTTTAATGCCAATCTAAAGGAAGCCATGTCTTTTCTCCCCCTCACGGGAGAGATTTGTGGACTAAAAATGCTTAAAAATACTTGTATTTACAGTGTGTTGTGACAAAAGTATGCTTAAAAACCTTTATTTTAGAGCAAAAACATAGAGCTCACCTCCAAAGGCTATCATATACTGTCATAAACACTGGCATCTACAGATTTTTGTGACAGGATTCAACTTTTCCTGTGAGGCTTGCAAAGAACTACAAACAATCAACACATAACAAAAACAATTTGCTGCATAACATGTCATAAGAATGGGTAGCTGTGCATCTTGGAACAGAATATACAGTAATGGGTATGATTTAGGGTTATTTTTCGGATTAAGTTTTCCATAGTTCCCATTCTCAGAAAGTAGTTGGATCAGACAAGACAACCACGTCCCTTTGGAGCTGACGGCAGGTTGCATCCAGTTTGGCAACCCCATCGAAAATGTCGAGGATCGATCGGAGGGCGACCCTTCAGGGGCTGAATTGAGCCGATGAGTCATCGATTTCTATAGCGTGAAGTTCAGGACATGGTTGGAATATTTTGGAATCGTCGGATTATGTACATTCACCTAAGTCATCATAATGTCTTTATCCGGTGGTTTCAAACATTCTTAATATGTTTCAACCCGACTGGGATGATAATTCCAAGTGAGGAGCATATTCTTTAGTGTTGAAATTACCAACCAGATGCCATATTACTGTTTACTACCCACTGACTCCATACCATGGAATATCAGACGGACCACAACTGACCAAAAAGGTACAAATAGTTTCCATTCCATAATATCTATGATATTATCATATATTTATCCGATTCAGATATCCTAATTGTCAGTTATCATCGAAACTATGGAATAATAATGGTTAATAGATATCGATAGTCATAGTATTTGGAATTTCTCGTGCGAGTTGTTCATTGTTTTTTCCCCATTGTCAACCATTAGTCGAAGGTGCCCCATCATGGAGGATCCCCAGTCGTCACCATGGGTTAAACTAAACGATTAACTAAGTCATGGTTGAATGACTTGGGGCATTTTTCGGGACAAAACTGGAAACCTCCATTTTGAATCATTTTGAGACTTAGTGTACTTAATGTACTTATGACTTTCTGATTTTCGCCTGTACCGTACCCATCAAAATTGCTACTGTAAAAGTCCCAAGTCATAATCAGTATAGTACCCCAGGTACTTCTAGGTACTTGGAGGCTCCCCCAAAAGTGACAGCCCGATGATAAAGGTTTATTAAGGGCTCCATAACCACCAACCGCCGCTTGTGAAGCATCGGGGTGAAATTCACCGGGGCTGAAATCTCTCGTCGACTCATTGCAGGTGAGAACAAGGAGCAATTGGAAGTCACTGAGAATAAGATCCTGGATGTCACTGGTCAGCAAATGTCAGCATGGGAAGCAGGGTCCAAATCACCAGAACAACTTCGTGGTACCAATGGGAAATTATTCCAAAATATCCTGTATAATGGTAATGCCAATGGTTATCCCATGTTATCAAATGGTAATTATCCTACTTCAGTTTATCCAGACAATATTTATCCAGATTTGGAATCAGCTAACTCAAATTTTGTGGTTCCCAATGAATCAACTGGATTCGGAACTTAAATGAATTAAAAGATTAGTTGATTAAAGTTGAAAGAATCTTGGTTCAAGTGGTTCCAAGATTCTATGAGATGATGATTGGTGAACCACCTAATCGAACTGTTCAAAGAGATGATCGCCGGATTGCTCAACTCCGAGGAGATTGGTCACGAAGATCATCAACCATAATCCCATCATCCGTTCATATTAAACTTATTAAACATCTCATTTCTATGGTCCCAATGTGGAAATTTCCTACATCCACCATGGTGTCGTTTCGGGAGTGTTTAGTTGAATATGAACAGGGGAAGGGACTACAAAAAAAAACATCCCTTTCCATTCAGGATGAGCCACACTGTTCCAGGAGGATCTCGATGCAAAGAATCCACCAAGATTTCGCAGATATGTGGGACCATTTTGCGGGGGTTGATATTAGGGGGATGCCATTAATATCATGAATCTAATCATATCATCATAAAATCATGTTTGGTCCAATCACCGATGAAATTGTTTAATTACTCCAAT